AAAATTGTATTATGCCTCAGTTTACCTTTTCAACAAGAGTTAATCATTGTTAAAATAGTTGATATATTATTTTGCAGCTAAGCAGCAAACATTTACTGCTTATCAAGATGTTTGATCAGTTAACTTTTTTCCTAGCCCATTCTTCCACTCTAACATTCTGTGCCTGCTCCTCAGAGGGTACAATAAGTTAAATCAAGTTCCTTTAGTAACTGGCCATAGATTATCAGTAATCCAAAATATATGACCTCTGATGATTCACAAGTTTGTATGCAGTAGAAAATGAAATCAGAACTAGTAAAGGGAAGAAGCTACTAAAGAAGAGCTCTGTATGGGAGAGACTAGACTAAAGAAAACACTACACATTATTTTTCTAAGACCAAAGAACATGAATAATTAGATTTTTTATCTCACATTCCCAAACCTTAATACCTGAGAGTGGAAAAAAACAAAGGTTTCTTTCCTAATGATATTTTCCTAGGATAGAATTTGAGGAAGTTTGTGGGGCATTTGTCTGAGAATGACTGTTATGTTTCTATTCTAATACCTTGGTTGCTGTTGGGAAACATTCTGTTTAGAAAATAAAGTAATGCATCCTTATGTGACAGTGAATGATAACTTTACTACATTTACCTAGAGGGTCTAAGAAAGCAAGCACAGTTGGAAATACAGAGGCACGTTCTCACTTTTATTAGTTAATAGTAAGAAGAAATTCATTCCATGTACCTTGTTACTTTCAAGTTGCCTTCCCCCACAACCCGCCCCTCCACCCCCGGTAAAACAGTGATTAAAATGATTATTTTTCCTTCTGCTTTTAGAGGAATTTCAAATTGTTTTGAATGGAAGAGGATTTGCATTGGGCAGTCGGAATGGCAGTGTACTCTGTACTTATACTGTAAATGAAACATACACAAAGAGTAAGTCCCCAATTAATCTGTGGTGCTTTAATATCTGCACAGCATATCAGCATCAAGTGTTTTCCTCTTTTCTCTGACTAAAAAGAGCAGTGCTCTATTTTTTGATCAAAGAAAACAGAAGTGATATATCAATGATTATACAAATAATAATAATTANGGAAATATATTGAGTCTGGTGGGGGAGGAAATATGTTGTATAATTTACCACAGACTGTTGGACATGGTTTTATGTTTTAGACTCCCTAATGAATGACTATTGAAAAGTTTAAGAGAAATAGTACAGCTGAACATCCCAGAGCAGGATTATCTTTTCTAAAAGCATAGGTTAATAAATTTCTAGAGATAAAGAAAAATAAATAGAAAAATAATATTAAAATGATAGCTATTATTTATTAAATTCCTCTTTTATGCTGGGTACACACTGGGTCCTTTGCTTATGTAATTTTCCCTCGTCCTCATAACAAGACTATTTGATAGTTTTATAATCCCTGGTTTGCAGATGAGGAAACTGAAGCACAAACAGGTTCAGTCCTTGCTAGTAGTAATTGCTTATTAGATCCTTGTCTGACTTACTGTATTGCCCATGTTCCTACTGAATCACATTTTAAGTTTACCTGCACTTTATTTTAATTTAAAAGTAAAATTCCTTTCAAAACTCACTGAATGAAAAGTGGCCTGGCAGTATTTTCTTCCATAGTCAACAACTATGTATGTGTTGAGTTATGTTAGATAGAAATTTGAGAGGATTCAAAGTGTTAAAGTAAATTAAAAGACCAGGCCTGAAGAATTCCTCAGCAGACAAAAGCAGGTAGGCCTAAGTGACTTTAACCTTGCTCGATTTACAAATATGAGCAAACTTAAAGCTATTTCTTGTAAATGCATGTGTTAAAGAAAAATAGAAGTTCAGCCCAACCAATGAAAAGGAACAACAAACTTATAATTACATAACTAGGGACTCTCCATCGGGCTAGACGAAATAAGACAACTGTGTATCTGTAACTAATCAAATATTTTCTTTGCTTTACTCTCATATTTGTCCTGTAAAAGCCTCCCCCTTGAGTTCCTTGGTCCTGAACTACCTGTGATCTGGGGTGGCCCGATCATGAATCGTTGTTTGCTCAAATAAACTCTTTAAAA